TTGAATAGTAACTTTCAAAATGGAATAGTCAAATCCAATTTGACAATAGTAACTTTAAGAATGGAATAATAAATTTGAAAATAGTTACTATTTTCACATTTAGTGTTCCATTTTTATGCTTAAACGTAATCTTTAGGCGAGGTTTCATGCCTGAAGATTGCGTCGAAAACATGAAACAGACCGCCCGATAATTGCTTCACTGTCCAATTTAATATTTTCATCTACATACGCTCTATCTCTGATATTGAGTACCCATAAATATAACATACCTTAAAACTATATTTTTATCATATTATATATATATATATATATATATATATATATATATATATATATATATACCATGGTGCAAATTAATTGAAAAAAAAACGCTTTCTTTCACCATACGGTCAGTTTTAAAACCATGTGAGTGACAGGGTGTAATCGATTTCTATTTTTTCCTCACATTAGGTCATTTGCAGTGATCTGCAGTAATATGAATCTATTTTCGGGGTGTATGATAAAAAATTTAGGGCCTTGAAAAATATTGCGTCATCTGTCATTGCATCAGATTATATCACGCACAGACACTATTGTCTCGATTGTCGATTAGTTGTCCTGTGGGCATTGTCTGCAATGGACGATACCCCAAGGAATCGTACGAAAATTATAACGCTGCACGAACACACTAGGAAGCTTTACCAGTGAGCAAATGAAAGTACTATAGACTAGCCTGGAAACTCTCCTGATTTAAATCCATTCGAGAACCTGTTGTCAATCTGCAAGGAACGTCTTCGTGGGATGGACATACGAAGTACTAACATGTGTACTGGATCATATTTCATTGAAAAATACGAAAAAATGCAAATAATAATGGAATTATTCGTTTTGTTTTAATGAATTTACAAAGGTTATATATATATATATATATATATATAGATAGATAGATAGATAGATAGATAGATAGATAATATTAATGGACAATATATATATATATATATATATATATATATATATATATATATATATATATATATAAATTCCCAAGAGGATAGAATCCAGGTAGAACTCAATGTCCAGAACGGTGTAAGAATATAATATGAAAGGTTTTAAAACACTAATATTCCATAGTTATAATTTATTTCATTTGAATCGTAATCCAATTCATCATACCTACAAATTATTGGATCGTGATTTACGATTCCAATGTAATCAATTATAACCATGGAATATTAGAGTTTGAACCTTTTATATTATATATATATATATATATATATATATATATATGAGGAAAAATATACGGAAAAAACAAACAAAAATCCTAATATGCAATTATGCTATTTTAACGTTATTATAATGTCAACGTCGGAAGTTTCGGTCTAATAGACCATCTTCAGGACATATTCATAAAACATAATTAACATAGACCATATTCAATTCAACATAAAAAAGACGATGGACATAAAAGCAAGACCAATCCATGTTGTATTGAATATGGTCTATGTTAATTATATTTTATGAATATGTCCTGAAGATGGTCTATTAGACCGAAACGTCCGACGTTGACATATTAACATTAAAACAGCATAATTGCATATTAGGATTTTTGTTTCTTTTTCCGTATATTTTTCTTCATATCCATCTATATATATATATATATATATATATATATATATATATATATATATATATATATATACTATATATTGTATTATCATAATACTGATAAAATATGATGTGGTGAATAATATTTTATTTAATGTGAGCTGTTTATTTTTTATAATTGTTGAAACTTGACTAATGCATGGAATAATAATGCAACACAACATGTACTTAGAACAAAATGTATTGAAACAAGAAAGTGTACACAATATTTGTTGTTGTGTTGACTGAGTCGCAGTTGGGTAGAGTCTCTGGTTGAATCTCTTGATTCCTCCCTCTCTTCCCGGTACCAACCATATTTATATGGTCGATACTCCACTATGGAAATTAGGTGGATCCTACCACATTAATAATAATAGCTTCTAGGTTTTTGTGTCTTTCCTTGCATTGAGTACTATACAGTATTTTGGTGTTATCTACTAGTATTTGTCTTATGTTGATAGTTGTATTTTCATCGTTCATGGTGTGTTGGTCGATGTGTGCACGGATTGCACTAAATATCAACAGGTGACAGGTCAAAAATTATAATTATAGGTAATTAGATGAATTTTGATTTGAAATCTTCACATTATAATGTTTAATCTATATTGCTGACACCTACCGCTGAATTTCTCAGGTCGTTGTATGGAAAGATAATTATTTGTAGTGAGAGATACATGTTTTTAATGATTAGATTTGATTAGATTAGATTGGAGGTGATGCTGACGTGATTAAGATTATATTCCTGTTCAAGCTTTGAAAACATAGGCTGATGTCCCGGGCGTTCAATTACAATCATCAGGTTTTCACTCATTGTAGGAATCTTAACAATATCCACCCCCGTGATTATGATATACACACCTGCATCTATTTGCGTATCGACATTTAGAAACACTGATGTATATAATAAATTTTGCAACCTGCTTATTCTAAGGTGGGTTCGTTCATTTAACTTCGACATTATGCATAAGTCTACAGGTCAAATCAGGTAAGTTGTATACTTGCGTCGAGAGGCCGAGTGGTTCGTTTTCTGACCATAAGACCCAGGTCCGAATCTCACCACGGTTGATTTGTCAGGAAGGAGACCTCCTGATGTTATCGGTCTAGAGTGGGGACGATCCCAGCGTGAGTTACCTTTGGAAAGTGCCTGAAAACCATACGACGCGTTGACCCAAACCTTATGAATTGGGTAGACGGAACACTTGGGGGGGGGCGTCGATAGCTTTGTTTGCACGAAGTCACAAATCATCGTGTCAGAGGCTTTGAGTGTACTGGCCTTGTTCAGGTTGTTGATCACGCTAGATAATACGCTCTCTCCCAGAAACTGTAACTAAGGTCTGCTCAGCTTAGTTACAGTATAAACCACAGGTGGGCTCTGTGGGTGTTGAATAAACACAAATGTGCCTGAGCGAGCGTCTGAATTGGGGATTGGCTAGCCACCCTAGTACACAAGTATCCTTGAATACATGTAGCTAGCTATTATAGTCAAACATTGGTTATGTTGATACTTGAATATATAGTAAACAATGATTGTATTTATACTACTGTCTATAGTCAAAAATTCATTGCATTTATACCTATGTCTATAAGCAAGCATTGGTTGCGTTTATACTTGAATAAGTAGTAAACTTAGAAAGAAAATGAATAACTACTGGCACCTAGGTTCGAACGTGACGCTCTAGACTTATGAGTATATGTTTTCGCCGGCTGTATTAATAGCGGTGTCAGGCTACTGACTTTGGTAATTATTGAGTGGAATTAGCGAAATCCAGTCGAATTAGTGTGAATTATTGTGCGTCAATGATTCGGGTTTTGATTTAGGATTTACCGGACGTTAAGCCGAGCCGCGCTACGAACAAGGTATTCACTGAAATGCTTAATTAACTTTGGTTGACTTTTAAACCTTTGTTCTTTTAAAATATTTATTTGCGGTTGTAATTAAATATTATCTTAATAATAATATCTAAAGAATATCTAAAAAATATATACCACAAACTGACGTCTTGGGTATGACTGTAAACTACAGCAAAACCTCTGGTCGGGTGATTTTGTGGAACCACCTCTTAATTCCTTTTTTACCCAGATCCACCCTGATCTGGTATAGTAGCACCTGTTGGGGTCCAGGCTATTGACAAATAAGGAATTCCCAAAACTCGGAGTCAAAAAATAATGTATAATTTTTTTAAAAAATCAGAGTTTTGTAAAAAAAAAAAAATACCAGCAATAGTTTTTGCTAAAAAGAAAAATATTACCTAAAATCCCAAGAAAATTAAATTTCGTCATTAAATGACCCATAAGGTGTTGATATACCGTTAAACAAACAAATCACTGGGTGGACTTGCGAACAACGACGAAATGTTAACTGAAATAGCAACAACAGAGAAACTCCTAAAGAGACAGTTTTAGTACTGGGAAAAGTGGGCTTATTCAAACACTTACAGAACGTATTTATTGCAAGAAAAAGCAAGGGAAAACGGTGAGTATCTTAACGAGATTATGCGAATAGAATGGGGAATTTGAGTTATACTTAATTATTAGCGGCCACCGTACGTCGCAAAATAAACATTGATTGGTTTTATACTTGAGTTTATAGGTAAATGTCCGTCAGATTTATAATTGAGTTTATTGGTATATAATGGTTGATTTCATATTGTAGTCAATACGTACAAATTCGTCAAGTTTCTAATTGAGTCTAGAGCTAATTACTGGTCGTGTTAAAACTTTAATTAGGGCTCCTTTTTAGGGTCCTACCACTCTAAAGTGGATCTAGTTGCCTTATTCTCGATTCCATGGACAGAGTAAGTAACTCTAGAAAGGTTTTGGTTTATCCAGTGTCGCACCTACAATCAGCACTGCGTAGTAATTTAGTTGTTAGTGTTTGTAACTGGACCTTTTTGACTGCTATTCTTGCAATGCATTGGCTCAATATAACATGATTGACATGTTTATGTATATAAGGTTAGTGAAGTCAGATTTGGGCACGACATCATTACGAGCAAAAAATTAAATTAGGCTATCTTCGATGTATTAAAGCCAGGGAATAACGTGAGTCTTGTTGGAAGGAAGGAAGGAAGGAAGGAAGGAAGGAAGGAAGGAGAGATTAAAGGAAGAAAGGAAGGGAGGGAGGGTGGAAGGAAGAAAGCAAGGAAGGGGGGAGAGATTAAAGGAAGGAAGGAAGGAAGGAAGGAGAGATTAAAAGACGGAAGAAAGCAAGGAAGCAAGGAGAGATCAAAAGAAGGAAGGAAGGAAAGAGTGAAAGAAAGAAAGAAAGTAAGTAATTGTGTTTTTATATATAAAAAAAAATTATTTTCGTCCAATACAAGGCACGGGACCGTTAGAACGTTCGCTTTCTGACCATGACACCCGGGATCAAATTTCACCATCATAAATATATAATAAAAAGAGTATGATAGATAGATAGATAGATAGATAGATAGATAGATAGATAGATAGATAGATAGATAGATAGAATTGAATGAGATAGATAGATAGATAGATAGATAGATAGATAGATAGATAGATAGATAGATATGAACAGACTGAAATAGATAGATAGATAGATAGATAGATAGATAGATATGAACAGACTGAAACAGATAGATAGATAGATAGATAGATAGATAGATAGATAGATAGATAGAATTGAATGAGATAGATAGATAGATAGATAGATAGATAGATAGATATGAACAGACTGAAATAGATAGATAGATAGATAGATAGATAGATATGAACAGACTGAAACAGATAGATAGATAGATAGATAGATAGATAGATAGATAGATAGATAGATAGAATTGAATGAGATAGATAGATAGATAGATAGATAGATAGATAGATAGATAGATAGATAGATAGATATGAACAGACTGAAATAGATAGATAGATAGATAGATATGAACAGACTGAAACAGATAGATAGATAGATAGATAGATAGATAGATAGATAGATAGATAGATAGAATTGAGATAGATAGATAGATAGATAGATAGATAGATAGATAGATAGATAGATAGATATGAACAGACTGAAATAGATAGATATAGATAGATAGATAGATAGATAGATATGAACAGATAACATAGATAGATAGATAGATAGATAGATAGATAGATAGATAATAGATAGACTGAAACAGATAGATAGATAGATAGATAGATAGATAGATAGATAGATAGATAGATAGATATGAACAGACTGAAATAGATAGATAGATAGATAGATAGATAGATAGATAGATATGAACAGACTGAAACAGATAGATAGATAGATAGATAGATAGATAGATAGATAGATAGATAGATAGATATGAAGAGGATGACATAGATAGATGTATGTCAGAAAGGTTACTTCTTGATGGTGGAGGAGACCCCAGCGTGCGACACAAATAAAATGTACCTGAAAACCATGCCACCAGTTGACAGAATCCTTCAGTTAAATTGGGTAGACGTAACTTCTTGGGAACCGCCGATGGTTATGCTAACACGAAGTCGCAAGTCATAGTGACCGAGGTGCTGGCCTTATTCAAACTGTTGATCACACTAGATAACGCACTCTCTCCCAGAAAACTGTAACTACTTTCCGCGCAGTATAGTTGCAGTATAAACTGCGGGTGGGCTCGGTGGGTGTTGAACAAACACAAATGTGCCTCAGCAGGCGTCTGCAGCAGGCATACTCACCATTAAAAGTCCCAAGAGATACTCAATGTAGAGGCTTACTAGAATTAGGTTGTTGCAAGGGTGTAAGAGGCGTAATGAAGAAATACATATTATATGGATATATAATATAGGTAGCAGTTGGCTTTAAGCTTAAAGAGGTTAAAATCAGAATGATCGGAGAAGCACTCTCTGAGGTGACTGTATCATTAGAAAGAGGCTATCTGACTGTATATTAGAAAGAGGCTATCTGAATGGAACTCTCTTCTTACGATTGAGTTACGAAAGGAAGGAAGATGAGACGACCTTGTGTCACGGCGGATCCGACCTGTGAAAGGATTTACCTGGATAGATAAATATGAGGCGACATGCGAATATAGATCTGAGAAACACACGTAGACAAACATATATATATATATATATATATATATATATATATATATATATATTTATTTTCAGATGATAAATTATATAAAAACTGTCCGAATGTTCTTTTTCTCCGAGCGCTTTCGGCTATGCATATAGCCATTTTCAAGTTTAATTGTTAAATAAGAAATAGTTTGTTGTATTTATGTTTTATAAAATGTTTTCATTTTTTTCAAAACACTGACAGGATATTCTGTCCATGTTCATAATTAATATTATTAAGTGTTTTTTTTTTTGTTTTGTTTTTATTAATAAGGCTTTCATTATCATCTACATGCAAAAAAGGCTAAAAATAATTTCCAATTTAACCTTTTTTTGAACCGATCAGACTTATTATTTATTCGGTCGAGTTAGCTCGGACTTTCAGAGGTCTATCACGCCAACCATCACGCTCCTACATAATTTTATTTTATATATTTTCCTCTCTTTCAGGGACTAACTGGCTTAACGAGCACTTGCCCATTATATATATATATAGTTATCCACAGACAGACTGGTTCACTGTATCACAGCTCATCAACGTGACTAATGCGATTGCTTTAAACCGGAATCGAAACTGATTTAACATCAGTCGTAGACTCTCACTCTTAGACTATCAGTGCACGCAAACAAAGAAAGGGGATTTTTAACGCATTGTATACGAGATATAAGCATTACCGGCTACCAGAGTGCTCAGTTAATAGCGAAGAGCTCTTAGCGTTAATTAGAAGCAGCCGACAAATTCCCTTTCTTCGAAAGTTGGCGGGGGGGGGCGTATATAGATATCTGTAGACTGTATTTTTCACCAAGTCGCAAGAAATACTAATTTAGTATTATTAAGTCCTTATTATTATTAGTATTCAAATGTGAGTCTTTAAATATATTTTAGAATTACTATATTGTTATACTAGGCTCTTTCATGTAGTCGTTTTCATCTCTCAAGTTTGTAAACATCTTTGAAGTATATGTCATTATCATAACAAATATAGCTGATGTCGCCAGTACAAGAGAGATAATACTTGCAGAGTAAAAAGGTAAAGATGAAAAATATATAATGAAAGAAGTGTGATAGATAGATAGATAGATAGATGTCATATGTTAACCGAAAAAACCTGATCAAAACACTTTAAGATATTTTAATTCAACGATACAATACAAAGGTAACAGTAATCGTAATAATAGCCGTTTCCTTATAAGGAAACATTTGGCATTTATGGACCGAGTAGCCAATGCTACTCTCTTAAAACATTTTTCTTTGTGTGTGGGGGGGATTGATTATTTAAGTCCGCTACCTGTTATTGTTATTTCCGGTACTGATGAGGATTTCCTTCCTAACTTTTTGTTCAAAGTAGTGTAGAAGGTCGACCTCTTGATTATTTCATTATTTTCTCTTGGAATTACATGTGCTATTCATTTTAGCTTTTTCCGCTTCTGAAAGTCCTCAAATGATGTGGCTTCTCTTATTTGGTAGATCTCTTTCTAATTCTACATCGCCAGGCCATGAGGTTCGAAGGAGGATAGTCACCCCGTGAAGAGGACTACATGCTTCAATATTAACAAATTGTGTATACTGTCCTTAGTTTGGATTTGGTTGATTCGTCTTTAAATGACCCAATGTAAGTTATTTAAAGCCAGAAAATATTTTAGATTTTAAGACTTTAATTTTTGTGATAATAGTGGTTTAGTAATACAAGTCTTACACCTGGAGGCAGAAGAGGTGGTTTCATATATTTCCCAAGGTAATTTGCGCGTAAATGAATATAAAGGACCCAACATTGCACCACCAGCACATCCAAGCTTACAGCATCTGGTATTCCCAAGCGGTCACCCGTCTAGGTACTGACCAGGTTCGACGTTGCTTAACTACGGTGATCGGAGGAGAACCGGTGTTTCAACGTAATGTCACCGTAGGCCTACCATAGGTTTAAACAAAGCAAATTGCGCTGGCAACACACCTGATAACCATTTGTTCTGTTTTTTCAGGCATAATCTGCAATAACTGATGTGATGCATTACCACTTTCTCTTGTTCGTCACTTCATTGATGGATACTACCCGAAAAAGAAAAAAATGATTATGTCCTTAAAAACTGTAAATAAGAAAAAGGCCATAGAAGTGATCGGCTGGAAAGCAGTGGTAATAAAAAAAAAATAGCTACAGAATAATAAAATTGCATATGCGTGTGGCGTAATCGTTACCCGCACGGGAAAGGAAATGAGCATCCCGGGTTCAAATTCTGGACGAGGCTGTTGTGTTCACTTGACATTAATGCACTCTCAAAAAGCACTAATCAATCTCTTTTCTTCCAAACACAATAATTGACATAATAGGGTAGTCTGGTCTTCGTCAACCTTGGTAGAGCAATAAGCTTAGAAGAATGACAATTTTGATTTCAGGTCCCCTGACATATTGTAGGCTACCATGCCAATGCAATGTGAAACTAAAACAGACTCCTTGTTCGGTCAATGAATGCCGAATGTTTCCCGTGGGGAAAATGTTGATTTTACCATTAATGTTCCGCATTCTTTCGTCAATAAATACTGAATGTTTCCCTTATGGATATGGATTAATTTAACCATCACCATTACCAATTGTTCTGTCAATGAATAATGAATATTTACTGTCTGGAAATGACTAATTTTACGATCACTATTACCAATTGTTCTATCAATGAATGCTGAATATTTCCTGTCTGAAAATGATTAATTTTACCATCACCATTACCAATTGTTCTGCCAATAAATGCTGAATATTTCCTGTCTGGAAAGGGCTAATTTTACTATCACCATTACCAATTGTTCTGTCAATGAATGCTGAATATTTCCTGTCTGGAATTGGCTAATTTTACCATTACCGTTTCCATTAATTTTACCATTACCGTTTCCATTAATTTTATCATTACGGTTACCATACTGTCAGCTATATAAAACCGCTATCTAATACAGATGGTCCCAAATGGGTGAGCGAGTGAAGCCTATGGGTCTTGGAAAAAACCACCTTTGAACCTTGCGGGATGGCACAACAGAAATCATAATACTCGATGACTTTCAAAAACAGCAAGAAGTAAAATAGATATCACATGTAACAAGAACAGAAAATAATAACAAAATCAATAACTGGTTGTAATCCACACTATTTTGAATAAAAGGTTAGGAAGGAAACCGTCATCAATACTGGAAAGAACGATAACAGCTAGTGGACTTGAGAAACATATTTCCTTGAAAATTTGTTTTAAGAGAAAGATTTTATCAATTTCAACCAAGATTAGCACTGGCTACTTGGTCGATGAATCCCGAATATTTCCTTATAAGGAAACGGCTATTATTACTATAATGGAGACATTTGCCATTACGATCTCTACCGAATCTATAAAGCCTTTTGAAAAGGAAGCAATAGTCTTGTAACTTTCTCGTTCCTGGTGCAATACTACGGCCTTATCAAACATTCTTTCCCTTTTGATGGACAGTGAAATAATTTATTGCAGTTTTACATCTTAGTAATGTGTGTGCGATGGTGTATGCAAATTATTACGACCATTTATATGCGAATGAATGTGGATACTCACCGCGTGAATGTGTATAGATGTTTATGAGAGGTTGTGTGCATGTGTTTGTGGCTTTAATAATTTACGCGTGGTGAAAAGCGTGTGCTGCGCATCTAGAAAGCAATTAGTACTAATGAGAAATGCAGGGATTTAAAGTGATTTGCAGATCTAATTACAAGACGTTTGCCATAATTACCGATAAACGCAAAAGCTCTTTACGTGCAGAAAAAACAGTGAATCGCCTGTATGATCTGTTTTTAATGATTATAGAAGATAGATATATATGAAGAGAGTGAAATAGACAGAAGGATAGCTATGAATGAAAGAGAGACGGGGATAATCTGAGATAGATAGATAGATAGATAAGGACCACTGGAAAATAGATAGATAGATAGATAGATAGATAGATAGATAGGGACCACTGGAAAATAGATAGATAGATAGATAGATAGATAGATAGATAGATAGATAGATAGATAAGAATCCATTGAAATAGATACGTAGTTATGAATAGACTGCAAAATATAGACGTATATAAGCAGACTGAGATAGATAGATAGATAGATAGATAGATAATGAATGATAGATAGTTAGATAGAATGAACAGACCATGATATATATATATATATATATATATATATATATATATATATATATATATATATATATATATATATATATGGCCTGACGATTGCATCTAGCATGAAACAGACTGTCGCCTCTAAGTGTTTACTTCTATGTTCACTTTTTATATTTATTCCCGCTCTATCTCTGATATTGAGCACTTTATCCCATAAATATAGCACATCTTAAGACTACATTTCTTCATATATATATATATATATATATATATATAGAGAGAGAGAGAGAGAGAGAGAGAGTAAAGAATACACTGAAATAAATACATAGATATGAATTGACTGTGAGATATACATATATTTCAATAGAGATAGATAGATAGATAAACAGACAGACAGAAATGGGTAGGAAAATCTGCCCATACACGCACACATGTTTGCGCGTACTTAAGTTTATCTACTCTTAAGGTATTATAAAAACAGTGCTCAGTGTTATGAAACAGATCCATAAATATATATTAGTGAATAATACATAATATCCAACGCCGATAACACTACTCGTAGCTCATTCCGTTCTAACAATCTTCAGGTGTGGATTTTGACCGTTATCTATCGTTTTCTTTTTATTTTCAAATTCTCTGACATTCGAACTTATGAATTTGAACAATATAAATTATTAATATTTTATTCTATATTTTAAATAGACAGGTATGTACGCTCAATTTTGAATTACCATCAAGAGGACGCGACAGATAACGTTCAGAATTCACAACTGAAGATTGCATTAACTGCATGAAACCCAGAGTAGTGTTATCGACGTTGGATATTATGTATGTTCACTAACAAATAGATAGATAGATAGATAGATAGATAGATAGATAGGATATTATATAATCATATGTAAGTATTAAGATATAATATTAGGTGAGGGAAGAGAGAAAAGAGACAGAGAATTTTCAAGCTGGATGATCTTTAAAAAGAAAGGAAAAGAACGTCTTTTCATTCAGTGATTCATGTATACCCGCTTTTATTTATTAAATGGTCTAGACGTATACAACACCCAGTGTGAATCAATCTCACGAATCAGTTGCAATGACAAAAAAATAAATCAGCTTACTAAGCATTAATCACGTGACGACGTGCCCCCTTGTATCGATATTAATTTACTGTAGAAATAATCTTTGGTTTAACGGAAGTGTATAAGATCATAGCTGTTGGACCTTCCTTATCTCCTCAGTTTCAAATTGCGGAGTGAATTTTTCCATTGGTCAGCGGAGGAAAGTGACATAGAGCAATCTTACTGCTTTCATTCTGACGGTTTATCAACCTTTTCGTCATCCACGGCTGAAGCTAACTACCAGAGGAGTGACTCACTGTGGCTTCTCAAACTAGCTTTTTCCGCTGACATGAATTGGAAAGATTATATTGAATCAATTTCTAGATCCACTGACAATTTGCTAGATCTGCCAGACAATATTTTCTCGCCAGAATCTATCTCACATATTTTTAAGTCTGCCAAGCGTCCGTGCGCTAAATATCCCTGTCAAGTCGGGTTTAGTTCTAGAAGAAAAATCTGAAATATTATTGGTCCTGACCTGGCTCCTAGGCGTTCCGACCGCTGTAATGTAACTTCGCTAAGACTATTCTATAAATATTTTCTCGGTAATATGAACGTTCTTTTAGAGCGCTTAGACTTTTGATGTGCCTAGGTATCTAGGTGCGCCCTGGCATTCCAGAGAAATATATGTCCAGATATAAGAAATAAATATATTTACTTCATTATATTGCGATACCTGTCTCTTTGCCTCGAGGACAGCTTCAATGATAGGAAAGATTTGTTTTGCTGTATGGAACTGCTAGGAGTTTCTGGTCGATCCTCCATGACTAGTTCGAGAAAGTTGATTAGTAAAAGATGTATTATGTAACATAAAATGATGATGAGGATTAGGATTCTTTATTTACAAGTTGTCTTATTTATACTTTCATAGTAATTTATCATTTATAATTTATCTCTTATTTGTTTCGAAGCAAATGATATAAATTAGTTACTTTATCATATCCACTGATCGCGTGTTGATGATGAAACATAATGAATTGTCTTTTGAAGCTTTTTGGATTTCTATAAAAGAAGAACGTGTGTCAATATCTAAAAAAATACAGTTTGAAACATCATATTTATGTAAATTAGGCTTTTCTGCTCTCACCAGAATTAAGTGCAAAAAGAGAGGAACTCTTCAATGTATTGACGAGGAAATGAGAGTTTGCTTATCAAATATACGTCCAAACATTAAAGAAATCTCTAAGACTCATCAGGCTCATGTTTATCATAAACACAAGAATGAATAAACTTAGGGTATGTCTAACTTCTTTTATTGCATTATTTCTTTTCTGAAATATTTGACTTCCTTATAACATATTTTTCCGAAATTTGTATATAGTGTGCCTACAATTATTGGTAGAATTCCAGGTGCGCTCCGACTTCAAAAAAATTGTGAACCACTGCATTGCCTATCAACCGTTCTTTTCACATTTTAGAGCTGAGAATTGTGAACTTCTCCACCACACACTATAAATAAAATTAGTCTATTTTAGATGAAGAGAGAACTTTACTAAGGATTCTGATGGATCATTTTGCATGATGGCGTTGCTCGAAACTAAAAAGAGAAAGAAAACGAGTGACTTTTTTTTTTAAAAATCGTTTAACATTTTATATTCTCTGCTTTAAGTCCGAGTTTTAAAATGGAAAATCCTTCAGAATGGGTAGAAAATAAATGAAAGAAATCGTTTTTTTTTTCCATGTGTTTTCTATGTCGACAGTATGTAATAAATTTGGATACGTAATCTCGGCAAAGTTATAAGTTATTGACATTTGGAAAAACGTTCATGAAAGTATGTTTCGAAAAATAATATTCGATAATGCACCTCGCCTCTAATGGCTTCGTCAGATGAATAACAAAAAGATGTACTGCGTATGGATACATTTGTATGTGTTGAAATTAATTAAATCACATATTATTTTTCCCAAGATGGCGTTGTTCAAGACTGAAAATAGAAAGAAAATTAGTTTTTTTTTTGTCAATATATATATATATATATATATATATATATATATATATATATATATATATAGTACAGGTAATAGATCCGTTGATATATAATCCAGGTGGAACATAGTAATAACAAATATTAATACTGATCCATAGAGAGCTCAATGTTTTTATTATAACAGAGCATATATATTTTTTACGGCAAAAACCCAAATTACTGTAAATCCAAGGTAAACACAGTTGCTGCTAGCATACGGAGCACCCCATAGTAGAAACCGAAATTTAGTTACAGACAACAAAAGGTTCTAGCCATAAACGTAAGACACAAGGAGTTACTGGAAGTGGAAGAAAATGAGAAGACGTTTTGAGGAGAAGGAACAATAAAAGAACAATACTCACATAGAAAGAATATGGCGATTAAAGTTTCATTTAAATTTTTGAAAATTATAAGTGACAGGAAAGCAAGCAAACGGAAGAGACATACACAGGCAAGAAGAACGAGAAAAGAAAACTTTAGAATAGTACAATGCGGTTACATCGAGCTATTTTAACAGTAAAACTATGAAACCTTGTTGCCAATCTAGTGGTACGCTTAAATTCTGTGGTTGAGGTACCAAGAAGGGGAGATCACTGGAACAATTGCCATGAAAGTATTTATAGAAAAGAAAGAGGGAAGCCACGTCACGGCGGTTGGAAAGTGACTGAAGTCGAGGTGCCAGGTCAGGACCGATAAAATTGCAAGTCCTTCTTTGGATTTTGTCTAGAATCTCAAGAAATAACCGCAGTAGCAGAATGGACATGGCAGTAATGTTGGATGCACAGACGAATGGTAGATTTATAAGTGTGCAAGATTGATTCTGACGAGAAAAAATGTCTGGCACGACACAGTCATACAACCTTATTAGCAACAGTCCTTGCAATCTGGTTGTAGACAGAATTAAAATAATTTTCAATTTCTATAGTAAAATAATTTTCAGATAATTTCTCTTAAGCTTTTAGAATTTGCTGTGTCACTACACGCACACACACACACACACACACACACATATATATATATATATATATATGTGTGTGTGTGTGTGTCTACGTGTGTGCACAATTAATAGAAATAATTCAATCGCCAATAACGAGAATAATAAAATGTACATACGATCTACTGAAGGTAATTTTAAAAAGCGCGACTATAATCATATAAGTAGCTTCAAGAATGAGAAATATAGATATAAAACTAACTTATCTAAACAGGGAGATAAAATGGATCCCATTCTAAAATGGGAAATACTAAAAAAAATGCTGTAATATAAAGCCGGCAACAAGTTCTGTATATTATGTATGGAGGAGAAGTTAGCAATACCTACTTGTAACAAACCAAAAATTTTATTAAACCAGAGGTCTGAAATCGTTAATAGATGCAGACATAAGACAGCCTGGTTGTTAGAATAAAGGTTTTTCTTTCCTTTTTTTTTTTTTTTCTTTTTTTTAGTCACGTGTTTTATGTCTTTTAGGCTTAAGCTAAGTTTAGGTTTTATCCCTAATTTTATCAATAAATTTGTTCCTCGTTAATTCCTCTTTAGCCAATTCACACTGATGATCCCATGTGGTTAAACCTAGGTAGGTAGTATCTGGCTCAATAGAATTTATTTATTTTACTTTGGCTCTACTTACAGTGTATTGAGTAATCTTCGTTTTAACTCATTACTCGCTTGTGTGTTTTTTTCTTTGTACCAGAAAATTAAGGTATTGGATGATTTCTTTCGCCCAGTTCGGAGGTTTCTGGTTCTTTCTTTTTTTCCAAATTTTTTCCTCGGATGCCAATTTGTTTACCACTCAGGTCTTTTTTGTGTCACCGAATTTAAATAGATT